AAGTATGAAAAGCGAGGAAGATCGTGATGGACACTAACCTCGAACAACGAAGAACAACGAAGAACAGGCTTGAGAGTTTATCTCTCTAGAAAATCGGCCAGCACTTCGACAAATTCAGAATGCAAATGTGATTCCTCGTCGGAGGGGAAGGGTTATTTATAGACCCCCCACCAACGGTCACTACACGTGGCACTCTCCCAATGGCCACATCAACGGCCACCACTGGGAGGCCACCACGTCACCAACGGGCCAGGACCAACCCATATCAACGGCTAACCGGCAAATCAGACTCTACGGCCTACACACGCTCAGCGGCTTTACAACTGCCAGCAAGCACCCACAACGTCCCACTTGCTCACCAAGATCACAAATGCCAAACAATAAGAGGATGGTAACGGCCAGGAACGTAACGGCCACAGAACAAAGGGGACAAATAGCCCACAGCCTTCGGCTCCTTGTAATAACCCTTGATGATAACTCTCTACAAGCGATCTGCGCACAAGGGTTCTCCCACAGGGTTACCTTGGCCAGAAAATCGCCATGAGAGTTGGATTCAGGGGGACTACGGCGAGACCGCTTCGGCCAGGGACTCAAGCAACTCCTTCACCCCTCACACTCTTCGGCCTGAAGCAGTGGGGGACTGGGGGACTACACCGGCCTCAACAAAACAAAAGAGTGCGAACAAGGTAACCACAAAGCATGGCCACATCATCCATACAACACAACGGAACTTCATCGGCCAAAGGCCCATAACGTCACTAGCAACGGCCAACAAGCCACTAGAGGCAAGGACACTCATCGTCCTCCGCCAACAATTAATCTTGACGGGCTCTTCGGCCAACCAACAACGGCCACACAAAGGAAATGAGGCCATCGTCCTCAAAGCAAGGAACAACCTCAACGGCTTCACCGGCCCAAACATAAACTTCAACCACCAACGGCCAGGAAAGGAAAAGCGCGCCTTCAACGGCCACCATTGAAAGAAGGACACTCATCGTCCCAAAACAAATTAAGGAAACAACGGCCTCCCCGCCCACAGCGAGGAACAGGTAACGGCCAAAGCACAGAAATCTACTCTCCTTCACTTCGTCTACGTCTCAGCTTAGAGAGTGGGGGACTCCTGATGGAGTATATGGGTCTGAGCCCCAGGACCCACATACTCGGAAGAACGGAAAGCACAAGACAACAGAGTGGCACCCCCGTCGGCCAGGACGCCCCCGTCGGCCGAAAAGAAGCCAACTCGGATTATGGTCCTGAGTCCAAGGAACCCGGGTGCCCTCGTCGGCCGTGCCCTCGTCGGCCGTGCCCTCGTCGGCCGTGCCCTCGTCGGCCACGCCCTCGTCGGCCCCGAAGACTTCCCAGAATCGGATCATATACTTACTCATTTGTACAGCCCATTAGAGGCTTTGTATTCGGCCCAGTAGCGGTCCAGTTGTAAATGGGCCTCCCAAGCCCAAGGCTTGGGAGCCCAACCCTAATTTTCTCTATAAATACTCCCCTTAGGAGTAGTTATAGGGGTGACAAATTCATTCTATTGAAGCATATTATTGCACTTCTCTCTCTAGCTCTCACTTCTCTCTAGATATACTCTATCAGATGACATATGACATATATTGATTTAGGGGATGTTTACTTTTTCTCCATTAATTCCTGTCTGGATTAAGATGACTGTCTCGATTAAGATGTATATTTGAATTAAGTGATTTGTATATGAAGTTGTTTACTTTCTGTGCTGAATAGACGCCGTAAATGAGGTAAAATATTCAATTTAGTGGAATATTATTCTTGAGTTGTAAAGTCAATAAGAAACTTCATTTATTAATATAAATTTATTCCACAATCAATTTGAAAAAATTGACCGGTAAAACGTCTTAATAGACATCTTAATGGGTTGACTATTATTCTTTTGTGTAATTATTAAGTCAACTTTTTGACTAAATAATTAAGTCGTACTTTCAATTAAGTCGTAAGTAAACATTACTAAATGGTTGAACAATTAAGTCGTTGTTCTCATTAAATTCATTAAGTCAAGACTTAACAACCTCTTAATGTCTTATACGGAGTATGTGATTTGATAACATCATCAAAATATAATCTGCTCGGCTGCCTCCAAGTAGGGATGGACCCGGGCCGGTCCGGTTCCGGTTCCGGGCCGGGCCCGGGTGGGCTTTTTTTTGCAAAATGTTGGGCCCAGAACCGGCCCGGGTTGATACCGGGTCTGGGCCTAACCGGGCCGGGCCGGGCCCAGGTCAAGTTCAATTTTTTTTTTGGTTTCTAATTAACACCCGACCCCCCCCCCTTCACCCCACCCCCCAAACCCCCCCAAAACATCCAACCCTAACCTAGAAAAGCAAAAAAAAAAATTGAAAAAACAAAAAAATTGAACCGGGCCGGTTCACCAAAAGTTGGGCCCGAGCCCGGCCCACCCGACCCGCCCAAACGGGCTAAAAGCCCGGAACCGGCCAACCGGTCCCGGTCCGGGCCCAACCAGTAACGGGTCGGGCCTGTTCCGGGTCGGACCCGGCCGGTTTAGTTCATCCATACTCCCAAATCCTACCTTTGAGTAATACACATTATACATATTATTATAAATTTCTACCTGCAAATCTGCAATAACGGTTTGCAGACTTTCAAATACTAAGTACATTGTAATTTAGCATACATACTATTTTTTTTTACTCCGGGAGGTCTAGGGAAGGGGGGCTGAAGGGTCAAAAGTAATCAGAACTTGAAACTCACACCATTGACTTTGATTATGTGCAAGTCTAATTTGGTTCAATTTGATATATTTTGTTTACATTATTTTTCTGTATTCTGATGTATAACTTTGGTCAAGTTTGATCTCATTTGAACATATCATTTTCTTGGTGAAGTTTTCAAGAAATTATAAAAAGAAAAAAGAAAAAATGATTGCTTTAAATATGAATGAAATATGTACAAAGTTAAAAATTAAGAATAAATATGTTCAATTCTCAAAATATTATTTATTCGGTCTTACTTATTTAAAAAATAAAACAAAAAAGTAAACATTCACAATCATACTCCCTCCGTCTCGAAAAGGTTTGTCAAATTGACTTTTCTTGATCAATGACAATCAACTTTGACCAATAATATTTTTTAATACGAAATTATTTTGAATATAAAATTATATCAAATTATTCCTTATTCAAAATATTTTTATAAAAGTATAAATTTATAAATTATATACAAATGTAATTGTTGGATAATTGATACCCATATCCTATAACTAAAAAGATTTGAACAATAGTGTAGTAGAGAAGGAGATAAGTGTGTATTGTGAATGAATATTGGTCGTGGTTCAATAGCCTCCTATAAGCAGTATATATAGGGAAAATCTGAGTCTGGGCCTCTCATATGGGCCCGACAGACACGGTTACATAAATGGACTGATAATACAAAAAACTAATCTAGAACATCTGAATAATAATAATAATAATAATAATAATGTACAATAATATGAATGATATCCGCTAAACGTGTGTGGGCCACTGTCCAGGCCCAATAGTCAGCAGGCCGGGGGGTCGGGGTCCATATACTTCATCAGGAGTTCCCCACTCCCTGAGTCGAGAGTACTCGAGGTGAAAGGGAATAGTTCACAATTGTATCTGCAACGTTCTTCGGCCTTTGGTTTCTTCCTCTTCAGCCGGGGGACCACCATCCTTGTCCATGATGGGGAGGTGCCTCGTTAAAAACCTTACTATGAAAAAACCCAGTGCGAAAAAATCCTAATAAAGGAAAAAAGAGTACACCTAACGCCCCCAACATGAAACAAGGAAGGTAGACCCTTCCGGCATAATCACTTTTGTCTAGTTCAACCTGTCTTCATCTGATTTAGATCTCGTTCCTGCTCATGCGTGATATTTGTTGCTCATTCAGAAAATCTGACCTCTCAGTCCCCCAGTAGCCCAGTCCTTGAGGCGAGTGGAGACGAGGTGAAAAATGAGTAAAGTCATCTTCGTACCTATACATTTAACATGCATAAATTTTTTTCTTGGGGTTTATGTTTCCGATCGGGAATTCGTCATTTGAAAAAAGTGGAAATGTGAATTGTTGATGTAATCATAAAATACTTAGTCCTATGCAAACATAGTTTATTTTTTGGTCTTATTTGTGAAAAGTGAATGACTTTTAGTCCTATTTTGATAATTAACTCTTTAATTATTCATAAAAAGTTGATTCTACTATAGGAAAATTAGGTACTTGAATTACTTAAACCAAACTAATCATTAATGACCCCTTATTACACATAAAAAGGGATAAATAAACATTCAAATACAAAATGTCTTTTGTCATTATCAATATAAAAATCAACCTCGAACTAATCTTTTAAAACCAAATTTATTAAAGCAAGGACTATGAAAATAATAAGAAATAGAAGATGTTTTTTAGGAAAGAAAGCTAAGTAGAAGTAAATCACCCCGGGCCCCGGGGCTGCCATTCAGGAGCGGTTCTAATTCTGAATTAGTTTTAGCCCAAATCAAATACCTATTCCGGAAATTTGCAGTCTATTTTAAAAGCACACGAAAGAAAGTGAAATAGCATTTGTCCCATTTTGAGGAATATGTCTCATAGTAGTAATAAATATGTCTAATTGGTGAATATTTTGAATATTTTATAAGTGCTTATGATTTTTTATACAAAATTAAAATGTAAATTATGACACAAATCATTGAAATCATAAACACTTCTTTTGGACGTGCTTAATAATTAGAATTTTAAAGTACACAAATTGTTAGAAGACGTCATTATGGGTGACATTTTTTGAAATGTTTTAATTTCCTCACCCATTATATATCAGAAATACAATGGACTCTCATATAATCACTTTTACTTTCCAAAGTTTACTTCATGAAAAATCAAATATAATGTGAGGGAGCATAAACTTAAACCCAATTTTTTCAAGTAAACCAAATATCTAATGGCTCTTATTCTAATTGTAGTATACGTGAGCTCACAATAAAAATCGAATAATGTAGTGTAGGCTCTTATGCACACATTATTGTATTAAAGATGGTTTCCCACCCCCATCAGAAGAATGGTTTGCCAGATCCCCTTTCCAGTATGCCCAAAACATTGTTCAATTTCCTAAAATAAACACCTGAAACAATAATAATGCCTTGCAATGCTTTAACCGCTTATATTTAACATGAGAAAAAATATATTTGGCCATGGCTACTGACGCCTTATATTTGGCCATGGCTACTGAGGTTGTTAGCATCTTAGCAATCCTCCGATTTTCCCTGCATAGCGTAAGGTTGAAGAGGTAGCTGTTGGGCCGCCTGGTGGCCGGCAAAGTGTAAGGATGGATTCCGACTGTGACGTCCGGCCTCAAGTTTTGAGGGAGGAGCTTGATATGTCTTTCAACGTCCTTGTGACTGTTGCGAAAGATATACTCATACATATATCTATCTATGTGTATTCTAAAGACATATTTCTTCTCTCTTCCTCACAAGCATCGTATAAGAAACAGTACATGACTTGACTGAAGCTTGGGGAAGACATTTTGAGTTAGCTTGAAGGACCTAATTTCTGATTTGGTTGAGAAGACTCGTTTCTGTCCCGTATTATACATCAACAGTGCAACATCCAAGAAAGTCAGACACAACACCCGGTTCAATAAAAATTGGACGGAGATGACCTTTTATCCTACGGATAAAGCTATTGATTTATTTATTGATATAAGATATTTTTTAGGATATTCTGATCTGGCAGTGCAGCTCTTACTTGAAAGATTTCATTACAACACGCAACCGATAATTAAATTCGACCCCGCCAGTCTTGCAGTCAAACACTTCAATCTTGTGAAGTGACCCGACCCGACCCGGTTTTGCCAAAAGTTTGGGCGGGAAAATGGCCTACTTTTCCACTTTGGTTTGTATATAGTAAGATTATGTATAGCACGTCTACAAGGGAAAATGTAAACAGATATATTGATGTCTGTCTCGATTAAGATGTATATTTGAATTAAGTGATTTGTATATGAAGTTGTTTACTTTCTGTGCTGTATAGACGGCGTAAATGGAGTAAAATATTCAATTTAGTAGAATATTATTCTTGAGTTATAAAGTCAATAAGAAACTTCATTTATTAATATAAATTTATTCCACAATCAATTTGAAAAAATTGACCGGTAAAACCTCTTAATAGACATCTTAATGGGTTGACTATTATTCTTTTGCGTAATTATTAAGTCAACTTTTTGACTAAATGATTAAGTCGTACTTTCAATTAAGTCGTAAGTAAACATTACTTAATGGTTGAACAATTAAGTCGTTGTTCTCATTAAATTCATTAAGTCAAGAGTAAACAGCCTCTTAATGTCTTATACGGAATATGTGATTTGATAACATCATCAAAATATAATATGCTCGGCTACTCCCAAGTAGGGATGGACCCGGGCCGGTTCCGATTCCGGGCCGGGCCTAGACGGGATTTTTTTGCAAAGTGTTGGGCCCAGAACCGGCCCGGGTTGATACCGGGTCTGGGCCTAACCGGGCCCGGGTCAAGTTCAATTTTTTTTCGGTTTCTAATTAACACCTGACCCCCCCCCCCCTCACCCCCCCCCCCTCACCCCCCCAAACCCCCCAAAAACACCCAACCCTAACCTAGAAAAGCAAAAAAAAAATTGAAAAAAAAAATTGAACCGGGCCCGGCCCGAACCGCCCAGGCCGGTTCACCAAAAGTTGGGCCCAAGCCCGGCCCGACCCACCCAAACGGGCTAAAAGCCCGGAACCGGCCAACCGGTCCCGATCCGATCCGGGCTCAAACAGTATTGGGCCGGGCCGGTTCCAGGTCGGGCCGACCCGGTTTAGTCCATCCCTACTCCCAAGTCCTACCCTTAGCATACATACTATTTTTTTTACTCCTGGAGGTCTAGGGAAGGGGAGCTGAAGGGCCAAAAGTAATCATAACTGAAACTAGGGATGGATTCGGGTCGGGTCGGGTCCGGACCGGGCCTAGGCCCGGTCGGGCCGCCGGTTCAAGAAAAGTGGGCCCGGGACCGGCCCGAGGGTTGGACGGGTCCGGTTCGGGCCGGGCCACCCGCCCGGGTCACGGGTCGGGTCCGATTCGGGCCGGGCCGGTTAATTTTTTTATATATAATTTATATTTTATAGTTTATAGTTTTATACGAGTATTAAAAACAAACTTCAATTGCATTTATTTGAAATGAAATAGGAACTACATTTGAAAATTAAAACAAACTTTAAGAGATAAACATTTTGAAAATTGTAATCAATCGTAACTTCCCGCACCTCCCGATCATTTGACTTTGTCACATGACTTCATATGCTTGATTGCCATCCCGAATCCGCCTGAAGCCCCCATGATACATTTTTTTTCGCACCATTTGCAAATTGCGTACCACATCCCGGTCTTCGGGTCTTTCTGCTTATCAAAATTATACCGTATAATGTCATCTTGATTTTCCATCTTAACTTCTTGGAGAAGAGAATTAGAGTAGATATATAATATATTGGAGAATAAGAGAATTAGAGAGTAGAGAGTTAAGAATAGGATTTAGGAAGAATTGGAGAAGAGATATGAAAAAATGTTTAAGATTAGGAGTATTTATTGGGTTTTTTACCCCCCACCCCCCCCCCCACCACCCAACCCCCCCGGACCCCCCCTTTACCCCACCCAACGGCTATATAGCCGTTTGGGTTGTCCCCACCCCCAACGGCTAGTAGGAGCCCAAAGTCCCAAACCAAAAAAAAAAAAAATTTAAAAAAATTGAACCGGACTCGGGCCCGACCCGGCCGGGCCGGGTCACAATAATGCTGAACCGAGCCCGCCCCGCCCCTTCCCACCGGTTCAGGCCCATACCCGGTCCCGGACCGCCCGACCCGGCCGGTCCTGGGCCCGCACAGTACCGGGCCGGGCCGGGTCACGGGCCGGGCCGGGTGGCCCGAACCGAATCCATCCCTAACTGAAACTCACTCCATTGAGTTTCAAATCCTTTATAATAACAATAATATTTTATATAATAATAATATATTAATATTTGGTTGTATTCATTAATAAACAATAAACACAAAACATGGAAATATGGAATGATGGAATATGGACAATGCCAAAGACCAAAGTCGAGCTGTTACAACAAATCTGAATTTATAAATATTACTTCAGTCCTAAAATAATCTTTCCTTTAGGGGAAGAGGTGTCTGTATATTTCAAGTCATATCTCACTTCCACTTCTAAATCAGTTTGCATGTTTAGACACGTGGTTTGCATTTGAATCATTTCATCAAGCAAACTTAATGAGACAGAATAAAATAGAAGGCGTAAACATCGTAAGCTGTCACTAGGGTATGGGAACCGAGCCTTGATCACGTACAGTTTTTGTTATTCAAGGACAAAACAAAATGTTCCCTCTCACAACTCACAAGTAATTGATATGCTTCTATGACTGCTACCAAATATGGGGTACAATTTTGAATATCAAACGTATAGAACAATCTCATTAAGACTTGACTCGCTGCCTTTTTGCAGATATCTCATCATTTTTAAAATCAAAACTCCAGCCAGGAAAATCGGACTCTGAGAAGAGAGAAGTTGGTGCTGCTTTGTAGAATGCTAGTGGGACCTGTTTAACCCTCCTCCTGATCTGCAGAGTACGGTGATTTATGTTGAATTACTTTAAAGCAATCTCAAAGGAATGATCTGTTTAACCGATTGATCTAGAATTAATATTACAAAAATGATGTTTGTACACACTCTTATACACACTTTTGTACACACCTATGTCTGTGAAAGTTTTTTTTGTCTGTGAACATCGATTCACAGACAATGTTTTGCACAAACGAAATATTGTCTGTGAACCGGATTCACAGACAAAAAAAAGCTTCACAAACATGGTGTGTATAAGGTGTGTACAAGGGTGTGTACATGAAGAATGGTTGTTAATATTAAACTGCAATGTGCATTTTGCAGACAGAAAGAATGCTTACCTCATCACCGAAAATTGTTGCGTACGAAGCAGAACTGAAATCTTTTATTGCAATTTCAGTGGTTTTTGCTCGGACAGTCAAATCGTTTTCAAGGGATAAAACAAATCTGAAAGAGTGTCACAGGAATAAAGAAGCTCAACCAAAGCGGCATAAACTAATTATGGGTGTGCACTGTGCACATCATGTGTGTAGACATATAAATACCTTGAAACAGGAGGGCAATAGTGATGGCGAAGAGTATCAATTTCCCAGAGAGAACTCCCTGTTCCATTGGGTTTGACAGAAAAAGAATAACAATTAATTTCTACAAACAAGTGCAGTAACTTTCCAAGTAAGGTGTAAAAAGGCAACCACATACAGAAACGTAAACGCTTTGTGCAAAAATTGCAGACATTGTATTGAATGCAAAAACATGTGCGTGGACAATTAAAAAAACTAGATAAAGGCAGTCATAGCTCCCCCAAAAGCAAAATAGATGTGCATGAAATGATGAAATCCTAAATAACCTAGTCACCTGGATATGGTCGGCCACTCGCAGCTTAATTGTGCAGCGGTTCATTACTAACACTAAATACAATATACAGCACATATCCTGTTTTAGAATTACATAAAACTGGTACGGTACCCGATAAAACTTTTCTTATAATTTATCTAAGATGCTACTCAAATTAAGATGTTAATGTAAGACAGTTATATTTCAAAAGAAATTGAAACACGTGCATGATAGGATGAAAGGAAATGTACTGTATATAAATTGTTATAGTAAGTGCATATATATGGTCTGACACTCGCAGCTTACTTGTGCAGTGGTTCATTACTAACACTAAATACAATACCAGAGCATATATCCTGTTTTAGAATTACATAAACAAGACATAAAAAATCAGGGGAGGTGAAGTTGGAAGCTTACTCATGGCATTAGCCTTCAAAGGATCCGTCTCTTCCTCATCAAAATGATCAATGCCCAGTCCACTAACAGGAGTCTCTCTCTCTTCTCCTGAATTTTCTTCCGCCATCTGATTAACATCATCCTGCAAAAGCATATTGGAAGTTGGAACCTAATTAACTTCAGCTTCACGGTTACATGGGGAGTGTTTACTATTGCTTCTACTCTAAAAAAGTGATTTTTTGAAGTGATTTAAGAGAAAGTGATTAATAGTACAGTTGGTAGTGTTTGACAAAAAAATGCTTTTGAAAAAATAAAAGTTGGAAGTGTTTGGGAAAATATTGCTTTTTGTGAAATAGAAAAAATGAAGAGTAGTTTAAAGCACCGCTCCACATGCTTCCAGCTTTTAATTGTTAAGTGCCTAATTTAAGCAAAAACTGTCACTTCAAAAACTGCCATGTTTCAGCTTTTTTAAGCTAAAAGCTGAAAATCACTTTTTTAAAGTTTTTGCAAACACTGCCATAATTATTTCAAAGGAAATAGGATACAAGCAACACCAAAAAATGAAATAGGATGTTGATACCTGATGAACTAAGCAGTTTATTGATGGGTGCCGCCTTAAAAGATTGTGGATTAAAGCAGTTATAACAAGAGCTCCTGAGGGTGGAACTGAAAGAGAAAGCCTGCTTAACTTTTTGCAGAAAGCAGCAGCCAAATATGCAGGAAGAAGTGGCGATTTCAGGCAAGAATCTAGAAGCTGTAAGTTAAATTCTCAAGTCAAAATTCAAACATGTAGCTTTCACTTTCTATAGGAACCTTCACTACTTATGATGATTCAAAATTATATACATACAAAACTCAGAAAAAGAATTTCACTTTTCTATACAAAATGGTAAAATATGGGGAAACCACTTTAGATGAAAACCAAATTTTATTCAGATTTAACCTTTTTAGAAAAAATACTGCATATGCTATAGAAACAATTGTCGTGCCCAAGTTCAAAAGACCAGTTGACATCACACAAACACAACCAATAAATATGGGAAAACTAACAAAATCTTATAACCTGAAAGAACTTCGCCCGATGTTTCGCCATAAAGACAGAGGGATCTAGAAGCGCATAGAGCTTATCATAGAATTTTGGATACTCTATACCGTGTTGTGTCATGAGAATAAACAAGCTGCTAAGAGCCATAACGC